ATTCAGCTCAGCTGAGGCCAATTGCCTCCACCGGGCCCCGTTCCCTGGGCCACGCCCCCCTCTCTCCCGCCACCACACCGGGTCACGTGGCTTTCCGTAGCATCAGCTATCAAATGTGCCTGTGACAGTTATCGTCGCCATTCAAAGACTTCGGTTTTCCTCCGTTGTTGTTTTTTAGTATTAAATCACCGTAGATGAAGCGAGCGAATGGAAGCTTCACGGGTTAAATGAGCCTTGGACAGATCCTGAGTCAGCGTGGCTCTCATGGGGTCATCGGGGGCCCCGATGGAGAGTGATGTGATCAGTATCCTCATCAGTAGACCTGAAACACCCCCAATTTATAGGGTGAGGAGAAGCCAGGCGGGGGCCCATAGAAGTCACCACCTTTCGAGATGCGGAAGCAGTGGGGGGGACAATTTCTTCTCAATAGGCAGCATTCAGCATCATTTTAATGTCTCTAACAAGAACACAATAAATTGTTCCTCATTATTCAGTAATTAACTCCAATGCGCCGAGTCCCCATCCCCCTGCATCACGCTCTAAATCACCCCCCGCCTCCCCTCCTGCTGCACAGCGCTTTAATTTCCTCTGTGCTGTGGGGGGTGGGGGTGAGAGAAGGTGGAGGGGGGGGGGGCACACACAGCTTGATGCACTCCATCATCCCCTTGCCACCCTTCCGACCCCCCCGAGCCAAACAAACCTGCATCCTCCGCCCTCCCAGCCGCCAAGCCGGCTCCTCCATCACTGCGTGCTCTCGCTGCAGGACGCCGCGCGGTCAAAGGAGGAAGAAAAGTCACCTGAGCTCCGGTCACGTCCCAGCGAGATGGTGATGTCCCATCAAGGCATCAACACCCGCCCACGGCCCTGCTCGCTGTCTTTTTGCAGGGCTTTCCCCTCCTCTGCTCTTAATTGTTAAAATTAGGTCATTAATTGGAGGCCGAGTCAAATCACCTGTCATTTCAGCTGGGAATCATCCGCTGATTGACAGGTATCATACAAACCCGCCCAGGGGCCGGTTTTTTCTCCCTCTTTCGGCGCCCGCTGGGAGCTCCCTTTGTGCGCTGGCAGTCGCCGCCCACGGGCGCACAACTCACTTTACTTTTTTCTAGCAGAGATTAGGTGGGTAGTCTTGGGTGACACACATCCACGCGCGTGGCCCAAATATAGATTCCAGAGAGTCAGTGGTGTCAGGCGCAATTCCAGGAGGATGTTGTGGTTCGTTCATAACGCCCCTGACCTAATTGAGGATGATGCTCACAGACGCTACTTCGCTCTACGAGAGTGAGGTCAGGTTCATTTGAGGGGCTAATTGTGAAATTGGCATGTAAACTAGGACAATAGAACAAATGACAAAAAAATGAGGACGAATTGCAAATTTCTGGATGGATTTTTAATAATTGTCGACGTCCCGCTGGTAGTCTGACAATAACCACGGACCTGGACTTGTTTTGTAATGTTCAGTGTCTTCTAATGTCATCATTCGGTTGCACTAAATGATATTTTGGCCATGACCGTGTTGTGCACTTGGGTGTGACTCCAAATGGGAAACAAATGCATCAGATATTTGAAGTGACGTCAAGCTGAATACGTCCAGTCTTCATCTTGTGACAGCTACACAGAGAGCGCTACTCTCACACACTTAGAAATGCTCCATTTGCTGAAGAAAAATCACAGGGAAAATGTTAGAAATATTAACACAAAAAGACCATTAGAAAAAAAAGAAAAACAGTCTTGAATTATTCTGAAGGCACGATGCTACGCGAAGCTTCGGGACCCTTTTTCCACGCTGGATCTTGAGGAACGCTTCATACGACGCTGACAAACCCGCTGTTTGAAATAAAAATTCTCTAAACACATGGCATTAATATTTAATGGGGCTGCTTCCTCGGGAGGCCACTCTGGGCTGCAGCGCCGAGCCTGACGGGAGACGGAATTAGTTCTGTGTGCTGTGAAGGAAGAGCGGCCGCGCACTAATGAAGCGATCAGGGCCTGAACTCTGAAGAAACCTCATATCCGATTAGCGAGCAGAGATGCATGTAAACACGGCGAAGCAGCGCGCCGTTAGATCGCTTTGCTAATGCGAGTCTTGTGTCACCAAACACAACAGCGGAGGAGCAGTGTTTTGAAGTGTCCTCGCTGGCAACAACACATCTAATCGTTTCAGTACTACGGCTGTTTATTTTTAAGCTCTGCACAAGTGCTTTGAATTAAGGCCGCACACTAGCATGCGAGCGCTCGGGTTAACGCCGTCGCCCGAGCAGCTGTTTTGGTGAATGCGGCTGTTGTGCGGCAGTGAAAACCACCTGACCTTGTCCACATGCGCCCGGGGCCCGAGATGGGGCCAAATGTGAGCCTGGGCCGGTGAAGGACGGGCCATTTGGATGTTATTAAAAAAGAAAGCCCACGCTACTCCCAACACCATCAGGTGATTTGAAAGAGATCCAGCGAGTTTAAGACGTGCAGATGTTTTCGCTTCAGAGCTGGCATCTGTTTATACAGACGCGCTTTATGTTCGAAAAACCACAAAGGACCCCCGATAGGTTTTATGGAGCAGTATTAGCTCGAGCACTCAGCTTTGTAATTGTGCTGCAGCAGGTAATGAGGAAATTGGTCACAAGCAGCGTTCCCTGCAGATGTAACCTGCAACGTACCATTTTGCACAGCATGTGTTGCCTGAGCTGCTGTGTGCGGCTTTCAGAAGGTCCGTCACAGTTCAGAGCCTAATACTACAATTACTACAAATACTACATTCAGATAAACGCTAACAAATAGAGGGACATATTCTTCAGATGCTATCTTGTTTTTCTAAACCGTAGTTTTCATTGAATAGCAGCACTGAAGCGGCTTCGGCTCAGAGTTCAGTCGCTGATGATTTCCTCGTGAATTCAGACTAATCCGTTTGTTCTGTGCGACTAAACTTTTAACGCAAGTGATCAAAGTTTTGTAATTAAAAGACAGAGGATTTGCATTATTTCTTTGCAGCTGCCTCTATCAGAAAATTCTGCACATGCAAACTACTAAATAAGACTAGTGTCAAGGCCCAGTTCTTAAGCTCGTACAAAAGGATATTGACTAAAATGTCCTGTCATCAGGACCAATACACAGTATATTAATGAACGATAGCAAACGTGACAGAATCAAGACTATTATTTACCTTTAATCCACCATGTGTTGGTGTCAGTAGAGGAAACTAATCATTTGGTTTATAAATAATAATATATCACATATCTAAAAGGAAGACAGTGACAGGCATCTTGGTTTGGAGACTTTCTGAAATCTAATAATACAGTTTAAAGTGTAAAACAATACTGTGAAAATATCAACAGACTCTGGGTTTGGTTTCTTACCACAGGTTATCTGCAGTAAACGTCAGCTCTGCTGCAAATAACAGCTCACAATATGTTGACTTTATTCAGACTCTATAGGGTTTTTTTTCACAGACAGGACTCTTTTCTTTTCACTCATTTTTGAGACTGAAGCAATGACAGAGGTTGATGCAAAAGAGTATCATGCTTCTTTTGACGCCTGCATTATAAAACCAGTGGTGATTGTCGGGCATTATTAGCTAAAAGTGAACACATGATGTTAACTGGTTAGCTTCAGTATGTTTTAACAATATATATTTACTTGTTAAGGTAATAATATCAGGCTCAGCTTGAGCTTAACGCCCTGAACAAGTCCACATAATTACATTTGAACAGGTTTAAGGATGCACACTAATTCTTTTTATTGACTCACAAGATGCCCTTCAGATTGTAGGATTTAATGTGTAACTGAAACGGCTCCCATGTGCCCAAAGGGAGCCGCCGTGGAAACACGTGCACAGAAGCAGCTCCTTCTCTGGTAAAACGCGATGCTGACGGGGATTCTAAGCTGAGTGAAACATTCTTTATGCCATTATATTCCATGTCCGTCAATAGTTGCCACCATCTGCTACGCAATGGACAAATGACATCCATGTCAAGTCCATGAAGTCCCAGCTGTGAGTGCAAACAAATAAAGAAATAAAAGCCCCTTCAAAGAAATAGGGTATTTATTGTGACCGACAACCTTAATTATCTGCAGCAACGTCCTGGTCCACACAGAAATATATATATATATATATATATATATATATATATATATATATATATATATATATATAATGAAATTCCCCATGCAGTTCAGATCTAGCTCGCTTAGCTTAGCTCGTTGTATAACCGTGTGAACAGGAGAACTACACATTAATAGCCCCCTTGTTTGTAGAGTTACTCTTCACATGTGATGGCAGAAAACAAATGTTTGGAGATGGGAGATCACCCGGTAACTGTGTGCTGTGCGCCTCGGCTCTCATGCTGACCTCTCTGGGAAACGGATGACGCTTAAGTACAATGTTGTCCTGTGTGCTGTTCTCCCGCCGACACGGCAACCGTGCTCCCGTGTCCATTTCCCATTATGTGACAAGGACATATTTCAGACTGAAGTGTTCCAAACTGTGATCTACCACTCGAGAGAACTGTCTTTGAGAACAGAGGGCGAGCGGAGCGGCAAGGACGAGTGTCCTACAAATGCCACATCCAACCGCTCCTGTGCTTCCAGTGGCACTTGATCTGAAATGGGCGCGTTCAACAGGGGACAGGCTTCAAGCTTTTTTTCCTCCGCACTTCAGAAAGACTATCATGTTTCTGCCGGAGTGCTTGTTGTTCTGCCAGCGTGTCAACAGAGCAGCGCGGGCCTCCGGGCCGACGCCTTGTTTGCCAGGACGGCGCTCCTCTGCTGCATGGTGGGTTGCAACTGTGCGATTGAAATTCGAGACAGTGCATTAGTCGCTCTGCTAAGGCATTCAGTGCTTCGGCATCTACAGTAACAGGCAACAGCGAGGTGGCACATGGAGAAAGGTTCGTTCACCAGAGGGGGTTCGGGACGCGGATGCTAATCAGGCGACACATTCTTAAATAACACTGACTTGGGGTCTGTTGCACAAACACAGGTCACATGCACACACAGATGGTTAAGATATACATTTATTGATGCTTTGTAACAAAGGGTGCATGTTACGGCTTGGATTTGATTGTCTCAGCAATCATCCACTTCCCATGAGATGAATCGACCAGTTCCTTGTCACGATGGCCGATGTGTTGATTTCCCCACTAGTGATAGCAGAGCTCAGACGTCTCCATAGCCAACTCCAAGCAGTCGCCTGCGTCCTGACAGCAAGGGAACAGACCGCAGTCGCAGTCATCGTCCTCGCCGGGCGAAGACTCTGTGGTGGTGGCGACCTGACTGTAGTCGGGGCAGCAGCGAGCGGCGAGGATCATGTCATAGAACCGGCAGAAGAGACAGTCCAGAACAACTCCTGCACAGTCAACTGAGGGAGACACATGCACTCAGTTATGGGACAGAATAAATAAAATGTGTAGTTTGTTTGTGCCTCTCCTCTTCACACATTTGCAATGACCTATTGGAGAAAATGTAGGATGAATTGTGTTTAAACTATTATCTTGAGACATGAATCACCTGAGGTGCTCGAACATTTTAAAAGCCTTTGCTTCCTTTATGCATAATTTAGGAAATCGTGCGTTGATCCCTCACAGAGAGACAAGCCAGGGAGCTGTTTGGAGAAATAATCAATTATACGTAATTATAATCTTGTGTATGTTACCAGGAGCCGCTGGAAGTCGCCTTGTGGTCGCAGCGAAACAACGTGCTGTGTGTGTTTGCCGAATAGTGCTCCCATAGGTCCTATGAAGCATGAGATCATCAAACCACCATGAACAGCTACTCAGTGACGACATGGAGGGGAAAGACCTCGCGGGTTAGACGCTACAACTCGCTACATTTCTCATGGAGCTGGAAACAGAACATCACACTGATTTGTGGATCTTTTGTGATGTTATGATGAGAGATGTGTATGAAAATGATTAATGATAAATATCTACTTATTACTTATTATCTTAAGTATTATATTCCCACATATGGAATTCAAATTCACAATGCAACTGTTTGGCAGAAGGCGGTTACACTTCTCTCACCTGTAGTGGATTTTCACAATGCATTCTATCCGTTCGTGTACTTTTTTCACTGCAGGCGTTTTAAGGTAATATGTATTTGTATTGCTCGCACGCTGTTGCTGAAACGCTTCATCACTTATGCTTCTGCATCTATAGCAGCGAGTTCTTTGCTGGTGTTTTTTGCTGTAGTTTCAGTTTCTAAATTATTCACCCATTTTCATAATTGATTACATGGGCTGTATTTAAGCATTCTCAGAGCTTGGTGGGGCATGCAGCTTGTAATTTGTCAGATTTTCTATTCTGTCTGTGGCATTATTATTATTCTGCATATTAGTCATCGTTTATTTCATCAAAGCAATGTTTGGATGAAAAAGTTAATTTCAGTACAGTTTTACTGAGGACTCCACACTAGAATTGTCCTGTGGATTATTAATTATTATTAATTAACAGCTGTGTGAGGGCCTCGGATGTGTGTGATGAAGTGCTGACCTCCCTGGTTGCTGTGCTGAGAAGAAGACAGAGAGTCTGTTGTGGATGAGCTTCTGGGGGAGGACCTCCTCAGGTGCATCTTCAGAGAGACCAGAGGGGGGGAAGAGCCTTCACACTCCCGAGGGTCTGTGTTTCTAGAAGGCCGCCTGTCGCTTTCTAGCCTTTCTGTCCGAGAGACGAAAGGTTAATGAAACAGACACATAAGGTACATTTTGATTGAGCACGTGACACCAGAAGGAGCTGAGAGGCTTTGAGATTAAGACGCACTTCACTCCTCCAATGCAACACAAAACAGGATGATAGGAAGTAATACAATATGTGACAACAGGATACGCCACAATACCAAGACCGAACAATATGATACAATATGAAACAAAACACGCTGATGCAATACAACAAGACAGAGATACGCCACAAGACACAACACAACATCTCATGACAAGATAAAACACCTTTCGTTTGACAGCCAACACCTGAATCGATGAAACAGGTGAGAATGACAAGATACAACACGATGCGTTACATTATGGTTCAAAAGATCTGAGGCTCAACAATAAAAAATATACAGTGCATCCGGAAAGTGTTCACAGCGCTTCACTTTTCCCACATTTTGTTATGTTACAGCCTTATTCCAAAATGGATTAAATTCATTATTTTCCTCATCATTCTACACACGACGACCGATAACGACAAAGTGAAAACTGTTTGTTGCAAATGTTTCCAAATCTGTTAAAAATAAAGAACGAAAACATAAAAAGTGCATAAGTATTCACAGCCTTTGCCGTGACACTAGAGATGTAGCTCAGGTGCTTCCTGTTTCCACTGATCATCCTTCAGATGTTTCTACAACTTGATTGGAGTCCACTTGTGCTAAATTCAGTTGATTGGACGTGATTGAGAAAGGCACACACCTGTCTGTATAAGGTATCACAGCTGACATATCAGAGCATAAACCAGCCATGAAGGAATTATCTGTAGACCTCCGAGACAGAATTGTATCGAGGCACAGATCTGGCGAAGGGTACAGAAAGATTTCTGCAGCATTGAAAGTCCCAATGAGCACAGTGGCCTCCATCATCCGGAAATGGAAGAAGTTTGGAACCACCAGGACTCTTCCTAGAGTCGGCCGCCCAGCCAGACTGAGCGATGGGGGGAGAAGGGCCTTAGTCAGGGAGGTGACCAGGAACCCCATGGTCACTCTGACAGAGCTCCAGTTCTATGAAGAGAGGAGAACCTTCCAGAAGTACCACCATCTCTGCAGCACTCCACAAATCAGGCCTGTTTGGTAGAGAGGCCAGACGGAAGCCATCCTCAGTGAAAAGCACGTGACAACCCGCCTGAAGGACCCTCAGACCATGAGAAACATAATGATCTGGTCTGATGAGACAAAGATTGAACTCTTTGGCCTGAATGCCAAGCGTCATGTCTGGAGGACACCAGGCACTGCTCATCACCTGGCCAATACCATCCCTACAGTGAAGCATGGTGGTGGCAGCATCATGCTGTGGGGATGTTTTTCAGCGGGAGGAACTGGGAGACAAGTCAGGATTGAGGGAAAGATGAATGCATTAATGTACAGAGGCAACAAAGTCTACTTTGTTGTGCTTCAACAAAGTATTGAGCAAAGGCTGTGAATACTTATGTACATGTGATGTTTTCATTCTTTATTTTTAACAGATTTCCAAAAAACAGTTTTTACTTTGTCATTATGGGTTGTTGTGTAGAACAACAATCCATTTTGGAATAAGGCTGTAACATAACAAAATGTGGAAAAAGTGCAGCGCTGTGAATACTCTCCGGATGCACTAAACCAACATAATACTTAATACTTTGTTTTCTATAAAACAAGCTCAGCCAGACACAAAGCATTTAAAAAACTTTGCAATAGAAGGCACATTCCAATTATATTATTTTTTTATTAGTAGTGTGACGGAGCAACACACACACACACACACACACACACACACACACAGAAAACGAGAAGCAGGTGTAGTGATTGACAACCTCTGGCTCATGATTGCAGGCAATCAGCCTGATGGGAGGGGCTTAGCATGTTTAAGAGAACGTCCTCGTGGCACGAGGTGAAGGAGGGTTTTGTTTGACGTGTGGCCGTGACTTTTTGGTTTATTTCTTTGGTTTGCTTTTTATTTTGGCCAAGTCTCCTTATTACTGTAATGTTGTTATCGCTCTTTCACAGAAGAATAACAAAAATAAAAACGCACCGCCTACGACTACGACTACGCCATCGTTGTGACATGAGGACTGAGAGTGAACCCCGTCACAAGTAGATTAAGAAGTTTCCAATGAGAGAGGTGGTTGCTGTGGATGTTCAGCAGCAGCACATTTCTTTCTGGCTGTTCATTTAGATGATCTGCATGCAGAAGCATCTGCTGAGGAACATCTACTGTCCAGCATCAGTGTCTTTGGGAGCTCGTCGCAGGCTGCAGGCTGCAGGCTGCCCTTTGTCTGTTAAAGTCGAGGTGTGTCGCTTCACACTTAATATAATAATCTCTCGGCAATAATCTCTCCCGTTTGATTGTATCAACACATTTATTATTATTTAAACTCAAGAGCTTAAATTGTTGTATTTTATTGTGGGGAAACTCAGTTTTTACAAGTTGAATAATCTAAATAATTGAGTTAAAAATAAGTAACTTGGTTAAAGTCAGACCTCATTTGTTTACCTGCAAACCGGAAACTTTTAGAGTTTGAGAGTTAGAAACGATTGCTGGAGAACCGTTCATTACCTCCGGACACAAATGGACCAGTGGAGCTCGTGAAGCTTCACGATGTGTTCGAGTTCCAGCACCTCAGGGGGCTTTTTCCACAGCTTCTGAAACAGCTGATGAGTGGTTTGAGTAAATTCATAAAACCTACAATGGTTACACCACAAAATGTACCGTCTGTTCCTGAAGACCCAAATTAGCTGAAATTGGATTGTGGAAATTTAGTGTAATAGAGTAGATCTATTTGTTAACATCTGATAAAAAAAATATATGAATGAAGAATAACTATTTACTTTCCACCACCTATTGAAAATGAATTATTCACCATTCCATTTGCTGTTTTACTTAACATTTAATTCTCGCTGATTTATTCACTCTCGACACTTTTGGAAAGTGGAATAAACTATATGCCTCTTGCCTAAAAAGAGAGCAACAAATGGACCTCGCTCACGGCTGTATTGGTCGTTTTTAAGGATTTTATTAGCTGTTTTATAATACGTACAGGATTACAAAGTTCATATATCCTCCTGTGTTCTCACTTTCATTGTCAGCGTAAGGTTTTCCAATTATCTCTCATTGGAATTGTGTCATTTCTCAGTGATTGGATCAGAACGAGGTTTGCACGTTGAAGCTGAGAGGCCACAAGATGCTCTCTGATTATCAAATGAATTGAGTCAGAAGTGCGGATGTTTTAAATCAACCTGCGCACTTGGATTTTCAGGACAGCCGAAGCGCGTAACAGAAAACCTCCTCGCAACTTAACCAGCGAATGTAAGCAAGCGCCTGCTGCACGAATGTGACTTGCTTGGGAAATAGTTCTGTAACTGTGCAACTTATGAATATTTTCTTTGTGCACAACATTCGAAGAGTAAGAAGAGATGTGAATTTGCTTCGGATGACACGGACGTCTACACGTTATCACACCAGAGATTCCAAGAAGCACGATGACTGAAGCACATTGACTCACCTCCTCTCACCCTCCCTTTGTCTGTCACGTCGGCTCTCAGAGTCATTTCATCTGCCATCTGCTCCATTGCATCACAAATAAAAAATGCACCTCTTATGACAATCCTGATGATCTCAGATCAAAAATATGAGTCTGCACACAGACGGAGTTCACCTCCAACCACGGTGATACCGGGCTCGTGTCTTCATGCACCCGTCTGCTCTCGGAATCGGTGTTTTCACGCAACAGTCTCTCCTCGCAGGGCTGTGAGGTGTTTACCCCAGCGAAGAATTATCGCTTCCATTGCAACGGGTCCATTTGGCCCGCGGCCCGCTGTACTGTAAGCCTCTCCGACGTTCCAACCACGTTGGCAAAAACCCTGCAGATCCGCTGCAATCACAGCATCGCCAGGACAAAGTCAGCAGCGTTTTATTAGGCAGAGATAATTCCCTCTATGAAGGGATTATGAAGCCAAGGGCAAGTGCACAGCATCACGTAGTAAACCGGAACTTTCACTGTAAACTGCAATTCCTTTTAAAAATGCATCATCAAGCAATCAGGACACTCCATGAAGAGATGTTGTGATGTTATATGGGATAAAATACAGAGTATGTTAAATACATGTCAGATTATTGCAGAGAAAAGACAACATAGTGCACATTGGGATCAACAGTCGCTCATGCAGACACATGTGAGGTTTCACTCCCTCCGGGCTGTGATTGTGTGAACATATGCACGAGGCAGCCAGTGCCAGTTTGTTTGTTGGGGCGAAACATGCGGTGAAACACGGCCAGCGAGCTGCATTCAAATTCCTCCCAATACAAGCCAACCAATTTACTCTAATTAGGCTCAACGCTAGAGTTGCATTTTAATAGACGCCCCGCTGTGTTTGCATATGTTTAGAGAACAAGAGCCATGCTAATTGAAAAATTAAGATGTGAGCGTATTTGTCTACCCGGCTCCTAATACGCTGCACTCCCAACTCCTGATTCCTTCTGTCCGGCTCCCTTGGAAGGTGTGGTTGTTGTGGTGTAATGAATTCACTGTGACGGAGAAAAGACAGGCCGACATTGTGCCTTTTTTTTGTTTTTGAAGTGGTGACGCAATAACTGTTCCCACTCTGCGGCCTCGTTGGCTTTTTCACTGACGCGGCAGGTTTCTTGTGTCATTGGTCAACGTCAATCACGGCGTCGGGGAGGTTCGGCGGGTCGCGCGGTTAATTTGGCGCACATGGAAATGTGCTCTCTGCGGAACGAGCCGCCGCGGCCCGGAGTCTCCGGGAAAGTCGCAGCGGCTGACACGGCGCCCCATTAGAGCGTTCCCTAATGTGGAGGGAAGTGACAGCCCGAGATCAAGTTCAGGTACACGTTACATACACTTCGTCTTAAGTGACAGCTGTCCGACCCCCTTCGCTGCACTTACGCTGCACTCCATTATTTACAGTTGTAAACAGCTACACGTCCAATCGGCTGTGTTTACGGGCGCTTTGCTTCCTCTTATCAGTTCCCAAATCTTTGGGATCTTGCATGTTGTTAAGTGGAGCCACCAGAAATATTAACCATCATCAATCATTTGAACCACACTGCAGAGTCCTGCATGATCCAATTTTGAATTGGTCTTTGCACGTGTATCTCTACTAATGTATCCATGTGTCTATG